AGATTTGGAGAAGTTAATGTATCCAAGTTCCAACATCCAGTAAGTGCTGGAGCTAGTACCTGAACCCCGGTCTCCTGAGAGCCACGCCTTGTGCCACAGCTATGGCAGGAAAACAGAAGCAAAGCGAGAAAACCACTTTATGGAGGAAGCTGGAATACTGGACACCAGGAGCTGCCGAGGGCAGTCCACTGTGGACTGTGGCTAAGGAGGGGGTGAGGGACAACAGTTTTACATAAACCACTCTGGTTTGGAATCATCAATGTAGTGGCCTGGCTTTGATCCCAGCTTCTGACTCTGGGTCCCCCTGCTCTAGGCAACACCTCTTGAGAGTCTCAAGCTCACTCCTCTAAAGGCAGGGGTCGCAGAGGAGGGATCAAAGGGATCCTACAAACTCCGTGTTCTGTCTACCATTCTCTACCATTCCCTTTTCCTTCCTGCAGGGTCCCCATGAAACAGCAGATGTAAAATAATCGATAGGGTGGGGTGGGGTAATAATCAGGGCCCTAGCCGGTTTGGCTCAGTGGATAGGGTGTTGGCCTTTGGACCAAAGGGTCCTGCGTTCCATTCCAGTCAAGGGCATGTACCTCGGTTGCAGGCTCCTCCTCCGCCAGGAGTCCTGGTCAGGGCTCATGCAAGAGGCAACCAATCGATATGTTTCTCTCACATTGATGTTTCTCTCTGTCTTTCTCTCTTTTTCCCACTCTCCCTAAAAATCAATGGAAAAACATACTCGGGTGAGGATTAACAACAAAAAATAAAATCATCAGGAATGCCCAGACTGACTCTCCACACCCTCCCCAGGGGTTCTTTCTGTAATCCCCTCCTTCTGAGGGCTACCCAAAGTGGTTTCTCAGGTGGATGGGCCAGGGCCAACTGTGGTTCACATTCCCATCAGTCCTTGCCAGGGGCAGTGTTACACTGCTTGATAATTCCCTGCTCCAGGCGCACCCCACCCCACCCTTCCAGTTGAGCTGAGCTATAAGCAATTGAGCACTCAAGCTCAGCCCAGCTATCAATCAACAAACTTCCAGTTAGTTCTCTCCACAAGGAACAACAGTAATAAATGAGGCAAGAAAGCAAAGCCACAACCTGAAAGAAAAGCAGTATATTTCTCCATCTGGTCTACCCACTGCTGCCATCAGTCACTCCGAACATAGATGTGCAGGCTGCTGCCAAGGCCCATTGGTTCTTAGCTCATCGTCCCTATTACTTTGCTCAGGAATTCCACTATCAGCAACCCCAGCTTCCAACTCCCCCATGTCCTTCCTCCACCATCACATCAAGGCTTCAGATAAATAGAAAGAAGCTTGTCTTCATAAAATGTGTGAGGACCTTTGTCTCATAAAAATGGCTGCGAGGAAAGAATCATTTGTTTCATTCTACTGTGCTCCCTTTGATTTATGATTATTAAGCAACTAGAGGCCCAGTGCACAAATTCGTGCATGGGTGGGGTCCCTCGGCCTGGCCAGCGATCATGGCAGATTGGGGCAATAAGGGAGGGACCACGGGAGGTTGGCTGTGGGAGCACACTGACCACCAGGGGGCAGCTCCTGCATTGAGCATCTGCCCCCTGGTGGTCAGTGTGTCATCATAGGGACCAGTTGACCTGTCGTAATGGTTGCTCAGGTTTTTATATATATAGATTAACATCCACAGCTTAAAATGCCTAGGGTGTTTGGTGGAGAATTTGATCTACTTTCCCATCCTTTTTTTTTTAAACTCCTTGGACTGGAGAGGCCTCTTGTATGGTGAAATTTCTAACCAGATAGAATATCAAGCAGGTGCTGTCTCTTTAAGCACCAACTACACTGGCTGAAGGGATTGGACATGGGTCAGTAGTGTGTGCATGCCCCATGAAAGGTCAGTCAATAGCTTGCATATGTTAAAATATAAAAGACATTCCTATCATCTAGCATTCAATTAGGCAATGTTAAAAAATGGTAACCTGACTTAGTCTATGTGAAATGTTCTAAGATAGTATATAGCTTAGAATTTTTTTTTTAACTTCTTGAAGGATTAAACAACATGTTTTCTTTCTTTCTTTTGGATGTTATGGATGTCAACAGCATTTTATTTTATTTTTCACCCATCTTCCACCCTCCTCCCCTTTGACAACCATCAGCTTGCTCTCTGTATCTAAGGGTCTGTTTCTGGTTTGTTTTCTCATTAAAAAAAAAAAAGATTCCACATATAAGTGAAATCATACTTGTCTTTCTGCCTGACTTATCTCACTTAGCATAATACCCTCTAAGTCCATCCGTGTTGTCACAAATGACTAAGATTTTATTCTTTTTTATTGTGGAGTAATATTCTATTGTGTGTACATATATACTCACACACATCCTATATAATAAAAGCCTAATATGCCAAGTGTCCAGTTGTCTGGTTGGCCTTTCAAACAATCAAAGCGTAATATGCTAATGATATGCTATGGCCACTCAACTGCTTGCTATGATGTGCACTGACCACCAGGGGGAAGACGCTCCGACCTGTAGGTTAGCTTGCTGCTGGGGTCCAGCTGATCGGGACTGAGCGAGATAGGCCGGACACACCCTGGAGTCCTCCCGTGGCCCCTCCCTGGCCCCGATCATGCACTGGTGGGGTCCCTTGGCCTGGCCTGTGCCCTCTCACAATCCAGGACCCCTCAGAGGATGTCAGAGAGCTGGTTTTGGCTCGATCCTGCAGGCCAGGCGGAGGGACCCCACTGGTGCACGAATTCATGCACCAGGCCTCTAGTCTTCCTATAAGATTATATATTTCATGTGTACCATTCTATGATACATGATCTGTATATTGCACTGTGTGCCCACCACCCAAAGTCACATCTTCTTTATCCATTCATATTGATGAACTCAGGTTGCTTCCATCTCCTGGCCCTGGCAAATGTAAATAATGCTGCAATGAACATAAGGGTGCATATGTCTTTTTGAATTAGTGTTCTTGTTTTCTTTGAATAAATTCCCAGAAGTACAATTGCTAGGTCTACGGCAGCTCTGTTTTTAAATTTTTAAAAATATGTTTTTATTGATTTTAGAGAGAGAGGAAGGGAGAGAATGACTGAGAAACATGGTTGTGAGAAACACCTTCTGGCTGCCTCCTGCACGCCCCCTACTGGGGATCTGGCAGCAACCTGGGCACGTGCCCTGACCAGGAATCAAACCCCCTACCTCTCTTGGTGCACGGAGGACGCTCAACCAACTGAGCCACACGGGATAGGGCTCTACTTTTTTGAGGAACCTCCATACAGATTTCCATAGTGGCTGCACCAACTTTCAATCCCACCAACAGAGCAGAGGGTTCCCTTTCCTCCACATCCTTGGCCAACACTTGCTTGTTGATTTTTTTTTTTTTTTTGATGACAGCCGTTCTGACAGGTGTGAGATGGCATGTTCACTTCCTTGGTGTCCTCAGTTCATGAAGTTGATTTGTGAACCTCGTGAATCTGACCATGAAATTAAACACTAGTGAAATGCTGGGAGAGGGTTGTTTCCCTCGTGTATTTTAGCATCCTCCAGGCAGAACTGATAAATATTCAGCAAGTGATTAGTGGGTGCATCCCCAGTGCGTCTTTTGCATATGCATGCCAGCTATCCTTTCACAAGCACTTTCACTTGGTAATTTACTAATGTACTGGCTGCACTCCACACCTGCCATTACTGAAGTAATTAGCTTAGTATGCAAACGATTTCTAAATTAAAGTTCTGGACTGGTAAAATCAAGAAAGCCTGATGATCAAGGCTGTAACTGTGGCAGGCGACAAGTGAGGGGATAGATAGGAACAAGTCCTTTCGCTAACCTACGTGCAAACCAGAAGGCTATACAAGGCGCAGGTGAAATATAGGACCACGACTGGAGACAAGTGAAAGGGCCAATATTCAATGATTTTGTTTTTATTAAATGCATTGGGGCGACTTCGGTTAATAAGATTATATAGGTTTCAAGTATACAATTCTAGGATACACGATCTGTTTATTGCATTGTGTGCACACCGCCCAAAGTCAAATCATCTTCAGTCCTCATATATTTGGCCCCTTTACGCTTTACTACCGCTCACCTCCCTTTCCTCTGGTAACCGCCATGCAGTTGCCTGTGTCTATGAGTTTGTTTTATAGCCCACACGAGTGAAATTTAGAATCGCTCCCTTTCTCCTGCCATCCATATATAAACAGCGTGAAGGTGTGGGGGTAAGGCATTTTAAGGCACACACAATTAGAGTGGTGTTAGCCAGGCAAACTTCAAATTGATACAAGTTGGTAAAAGGGGCGGCGGCGGTGCATAGGAAGCTGGGCAAAGGTGGGAGCACGTCCGACCAGGCGGGCGGCGCTGGCGACCCATCCTGGGACCCAGGGCTCCTCTCGGCCTCGCATGGGCAGCGCAGGCCTCCGACCCGGAGAGGAGAAAAGAGAAGCGAGGAGGAGGAGAGGAGCTGGAGGGAGCGAGTGGGGATGGGAGGAGGGAGACGCGAGAAGAGCGAGAGGAGCGGAAGCAGAGGAGGGAGGAGAGGCGGGCAGAGGAAGGGGAGGAAAAGGGAGGAAAAGAAAAAGGCGGCGGAGGAGAACGGGTGCGCCCCGCCCAGCGTCCGCCTCCGCTCCCAAATTCGGGCAGGCTCTCCCCGTCCGGTTTCTGGGCTCTCGGAAAACGCGGAGGCTGCGACTGCCCGG